CCCGATGATGCGAATCCTGTTGGCGAATCGGTGAAGGTCACGGGTAAAGGAAAAGGGAAAAGAACCCACTTCGTGCAATTCGAGTATGATGGTAACAAATATGAGCTGGTGAGTTTTGATTTCGTTTAGGGTTTGGTCCTTTACGTTTCTAATTTTGCCTTTGATTGATGAATCCTGGTTAATGGTCTTCTGGTATATAGCGTATAGAGTTGTTTCTTCATGTGCTGATCTGATTTGTAGATGATTTTGGAATTGATTTGTGAAATTTTTAGGGATTTGTAGTTTCGTTAAGATGTTTCCTATAGTCTGGTTGAATCAATGCTTGAGACCTTAGAGACCATTTGCTTGTATGTGTCTCTTACACTCCCCTTCTTGTGTAGGAGGATCCGGTGCTGTTGGTTCCAGAGGACAAAAGTCAGAAGCCCTATGTTGCGATTATTAAGGTATTGCTGTGATAAGTTTTGTATTTGCTTCAGAGTTCTTGTTGTGTTAAGTGCTTCGAAGTAAGGATTTGTTTCTTTGGCAGGATATTACCCAAACGAAAGATGGAAGCATGATGATTCTGGGACAGTGGTTTTATCGTCCTGAAGAAGCAGAGAAAAAGGGTGGTGGAAACTGGCAATCAAGTGATACACGAGAGTTGTTCTACAGCTTCCATCGTGATGAAGTTCCTGCTGAATCTGTGATGCACCGATGCGTGGTGTATTTTGTCCCAGCCCATAAGCAACTCCCGAAACGCAAAAACCACCCTGGGTTTATCGTACGAAAGGTGTATGATACTGTGGAAAAGAAGCTGTGGAAACTGACTGATAAGGACTATGAAGACTCCAAACAACATGAAATCGACCTTCTTGTCGAAAAGACTATGTCTCGTTTGGGTGATCTTCCTGACCTTGAACCCGAGGAAATGCCTGTTGATCTAGAGAATCTGTTGAGGGCTAAAAGATCCTTTCGGAAAATGAACATACCTCCTGTTGATGTTAGAAAGGAGGAAGACGCCTCTCTAAGGGCTGAAACTCCTGGAAGTGGTGCTGGTATTTCATCTGAGCATTATGCTATCTTAGAGAAGTTTGATTCACTAACAGGTGATACTCATCGTGACAAGTGTTTGGGGAAGCTTCTGGAAGCAGTCCAGCAGATATGCTATGTCCCTGAGAACAAACAAGCTGGCGATGGAGCAAAGGTGGGTTCAGATGGATCCCATCTTCAACAGGATGAGAAGACTGGAAATGGATCTCAAGAGAATCCAATAATGGTCTTAACTAAATATTCTCCCTCTTCATACAGTCACCTTTCACAGATTTTCCTACCAAAATTTACTAAATTACATGCTCTGGTTATCTAAAATATATCAAGAATTCAGTAGTTGCTAAAATAACCTTTTGTTTAAACTGATTGACAGGATGAGAGTTTTCTCTGGCCAGATGCTGCTGTTCCTCCGGTGTGTGCTCTTGAGCAGGCTTCACATGCTTCTCTTGCATCGGATTACCATAAGTATAATCAAAAGATGAGGACACTGGTTTTCAATCTCAAGGTTAGAATTTGCATTCATGCCATTTCATTACTTCTTTTCCTTATTTTGTTCTCTTGATTCTCTCCGGCCACATATGATTGTTTCTGTATGTATGCTCCTTGTTCATGACAGTTGATCTATGAATTTAATGTGAAATTCTGATATGACATGGTAAAATTTGAATGCCTTATGAATGTTGATTACTGGACTTCACATTCGAACGGTAAAATGCTTGTCTATATTAGAGAGTCTTTGTGGAGGTGCTCAGTTTGCTGTAAGCATCACTTTAGCGTTTCTTCTAAGTATTTAACAGTGATTTTACTTTGTTTTGTCTGCAGAACACTGCATTGCTGGCTAGACGACTGCTCAATGGCGAGTTAGAACCTGCAAAGATTTTGAACATGTCACCCACTGAGTTAAAGGTTAAGTACTTGTTATCTTATATATTTTGCAGACAGATTCTCCTCCCCTCTTTGTTTTCAGTCTCCCTTACTCAGTTTTCACTGGCATAAATTCCATTTCACATTTAATCTGAATCTTGTTATGTGCCATAATACTCAAATACCATCTTAAATGTGAAAACGACTAAAGATTTGGTTTTAATGGGATTCAGGAGGGTCTAACTGCTGAGGAAACAGCAACAAAGGAGCCTGATGATGCGGAAAGGATGCAGGTTTTTTTCATTTCTAACAATGGAAATTTTATCTAGTTTGTTGGATTTCAGTTAAGGAATGTCTTTGACCATGTCATGTGTTTGTTGGTTTCGGATGCAGATGACTGATGCAAGATGCTCGAGATGCAGTCAAATTAAAGTTGGGCTGAGAGATATCATCCAAGCGGGGCATGGTGATCGCTATCAGGTTCTTGTGCTTTTCCCTATTACATCATCTACTCTCGGATTAATACGGTTTGCTAAAACCAGAATCAAAGTAGAGATCGTAGTGTGAGTATCCATGGATCATAATAATCACGTTCTCGTTTTCTTTCTGCATCTAGCTGGAGTGTATTGCCTGTGGACATTCCTGGTACGCGTCAAGGGACGAGGTATCAACTCTGACTATTGACACAGAAAAACCTGTCAAAGGCACAGAGGGTGAGGATGCTGAGAAGAATTTGACCAGTCCTCGTGAAACTGAGAAGAACCCAACAGACGCATCCTTGAAGACAACCAATGACTCAAATGCTGACAACAATCCTGAAGCCACCAAGAAACCAGAGTAATAATAATGTTTAGGGGTTCCAACTTGGTTAGGATTTCCAGTATGATTCGAACTTGGTTCTATTTTAACATCTGATTAACCGTATAGTTAAGTCAGGTTAAGCTTATTATTACAACAAAACTTAAGACTTTTGGTTATCTCGGTATATATCAATAATAATCAATGGAACTTAAATTTATCTCTTTGTACTATTATTATGGTTCCTGATTTCCTGTCTGTGTCTTATCAACAATCGTCTCTTTATGTTCGTCGACCATACACAAACCGAGTAGGGATATAAATGGATAGAGACACAATGTAGTGGCAAAAGACATGCTTTAGAGTTTAGACTCGTAGAATGTCTGTAAATTTAGTGTATATATACCGTTTATATATCTCATAAAGTAGAGCAGGGACAAGAACGAGAAGATGTTAATATGTACTTTCATAGATTCATTACAGGTTTAGTATCAACAAAATACCATCCTTCAACGAGGATCTAAATCTGTAATCGATGCATGCTTGTGGATCGGGTAGAATCTAAGCCGTCATAGTCCGGTTCATGCCTGCTTGGGAGGCAAAATCCCGGCGCTCGAGGAACAGGTAAAGTGGTTGTGCTACTAGTGAGCATCACGATGATTGCGGGTAGCATTGGACGATCTGCAGGATCTTCTTGAATACATAGTAATGCGATATGGATGCATCTAGTAGCCTCATTACTCTGATAGCTCTCTCCTATAATCCGATCTACGAGTTTTAATGGTGACCCATTTCTCCAAAGCCTCCAAGCCTGGCACAAGTGATCAATAATATTAACATCATTTGGCTTAATCATATACACTCATGTAAATTAAGATCATACTCACATGTGTGACCAAATTGCCATCAGTATCATCAATGTGGTAGGACTTGCTATTCTTTTTGCCACTTATAATCTCTAGAATCATTACTCCAAAGCTATAGACATCAGACTTCATGGAGAAATGGCCGCGCATTGCATACTCCGGAGACATGTAACCACTGCAAATTTAGAAACACTTTTTAGCCTACAAGCAAACCACCAAACAGAGTTTTTTGGTAGTCAAATGAAGATAGAAAGTTTACTATGTTCCAACGACTCTTCTTGTGTTAGCTTGAGATTGATCAACTCCGAAAATCCTTGCCATGCCAAAATCTGCAATCTTGGGGTTCATATCAGCATCTAAGAGAATGTTACTCGCTTTGAGATCCCGGTGTATGATCGTAAGCCTTGAATCTTGATGAAGATATAGAATTCCTCGAGCAATCCCTCCAATAATGTTGTACCGTCTTGTCCAGTCTAGTTCTCCTTGCTTTTCAGGATCTGTAACATTGCAACAATATGAATATGAATCATTAGCTACAATAAGGACTCCTCTAAAGTATTCATCAAGCTCATATCATACCGAACAAGAAATAGTCGAGGCTTTTGTTTGGTACAAACTCGTAGACAAGTATCTTTTCTTCTCCTTGCAGACAAAAGCCAAGGAGCCTAACCAGATTCCTATGCTGAAGCTTTGTCACAAGAACAGCCTCGGTTTTGAACCCTTCCGCGCCTTGTCCTGATGTTTTCGACAGTCTCTTTACCGCTACTTCAGTTCCAGTCGAAAGCTTTCCCTAAAGAAGTAAAACGTATATAAAATGCTGTATATATTCAATTTCTTACAGAGAATTAGCAAACCAGACAGAGAAAGAACTTATTAGTACCCTGTAAACTTCACCAAATCCACCTCCCCCGATCTTGTTGCTTTCTGAAAACTTATCAGTTGCAGCTTCGATTGTCTTAAAACTGAATTGCAGTGAGCGTGTTGTTGTGATCTCATCACCAGCTGCACAAAAGAAAGTGAAAACATCTTCCTCAACATCATTTTTTTTCCAGAATCTGTGTGTAATTTCCTTGAAGAAGAACCAACCTTGAACCTCAGTTCTTTTTTCTGATTTCCCTTTCATGCAAACCAAAAATCCAACAACAAGCAGTACCAACATAACAATGGTAGGGACAACAATGGCCACAATAGTCCCTACCGACATTGACTTCCCGTCTGCAAAATGCCACAAATCATTGCAAATGAGTGATGCAAATTCAGTTTTAAAACAGATTCTTGTTACAAATCATATGAAAGATTTTACCTTTACTGGTTGTATTTGCCCGATCGCTTACCGGAGGTGTCAAAGAAAGCGGTGGCTGAGGTAAAGACTGCGGTCGAGGTGGTGGCAATGCAACATTATCAAAAGCTCCAGCATAAGGATAAAGATCCCATCGGAAAAAGCAACTCGGTCTAATAACCGCACCACCTTGTTTACCTCGACAACACGACTCATAGTCACCAACACTTCTCTTGAGACAAACCTCACAATCCCCTGAAGAAACATCAGGTGTACATTGCATCATTGCATACATAGTTTCGAAAGTTGTCAATGAAGCAACCTCAGCTGCAAAGTACTTTTGTCCAAATCTTGATGATGATCCATTACTACTCAAAGAAGCTACATTTACCGTTCGGACCATTAACTCTTCCCAAACTCTATCAAACACCGTCAAATTAGCATCAGTATCTCTGATATCTCCAGTATTGTAAAGCTCTTGAGACGGTTCCATAAGGAGTAGTGATCCAGAGAAAGAAATGTTGGAATAACGTACCATACAACAATCTGGCCATGTATAAGCTTCTGTTTGGTTAGGACAACTCTGTACTAACTTGTCTGATGCACCTTTGATGCAATCTGAACAAGTCTCTGGTTTAGTTCCAGGGATGCACATACCAATGATGAAGATTCTGTTGGGATTTTGACCGATCGAAGAGTTGTAGAATCCATTGTGAGTTGTGACATTAGAAGCAAGAGATGAGAGGATTAGACGACGGTTTAAGTCGTACGTAGAATTGGGTTTAAAGAATCCACTGAAGCAGATTTCTTGTCCTGAAGAAACAGAAATGAGGAAAAACCAGAAGAGTGGTAAAAATGAAATCTTGAGCTTCATTCTCTCAAAGGTATATCAGAACCAAAGACTTGTGTTTAAACGTTAGCTTGTTAGAAATTAGAAGGTCAACTTCAAAATGCTTTGTGGATTTTTTCTCTCTGCAGATTTTCGATGGAGGAAAGATGAGAAATTGACTTTGTGAAGCCCAAAGATAAACAGTGCAACAAGAAGACGACAACACACAGAGACCCCACTCAGAAGTAAATATTTATCCACCAATAAAGAATATGGACCCACACACTCTGAATCGAATCAAGAACAGGTAAAAAGAGATGGTTTGAGGAAAATTAAGCAAGTAAACTGTGAAAATGGTCTGAAAATTCCATTTCATATTATATCAAGATTCTCAGAAAACAAAGGAAAACATTTACTTAGAGACTTAAGTCCTTAATGGAGTCAACAGAGCAAGTTTGGAGTCAATAGTTACAACGGGGGTCAAACAAACAAACTTTAAAACCCGAAATTTACATTAGGAAATCGAAACCGGTTAAAGTCATACAAACCAATTTGATTTCCAAGTTAGATGCCTTCACAAACACCAATCTACAGTTCCCAAAAAAAAAAACCCCTGCTTGAGACAGCATGTTGTATTACATTGGTTTATCTATGAAAGCTTTCAAAGGAATGAAAGAAACACACCATGTACCTGTTTCGAGCAACAGTTACGGATATGAAGTAACTGTCATCTTCAACGAGGAACCAAGTCATTAATCAAGGAATCATTGATAGAAATATTAACAGAATTGATCGGAGGTAGACCCATCTTTATTCCCTCATATACTGGTGACTGAGGCACAGGTAAAGTGGTCGAGTCACTGCTGAGCATCGAGATGATAAGCGAAATATCTGGACGGTTTTTTGGATCAGTTTGAACACATAATAGCGCGATATGGATGCATCTAGTAACTTCATTACACTGATAATTCTTTCCCATTTCCGCATCCACGAGCTCTAATGGTGACCCGTTTCTCCATTTGGCACTCAAGGACACTTTTTCGAAGACAGAAGTCGCAGTTGGTCGAAGATATCCCCGGAATACATTGCATCACTGCGTATATACGCTCTAAACCTATTGGATGAGACACCTTGGCCGCATAATGCCTTGGTTTAGAGGAAGTAGAAGCTGCTACGATCATATCCTCCATGAAATCCGTCCAAAATTTGTCAAACTCTGCTGCGTTCCCAGTGATATTTTTACTATTACAAACTCTTAGCATCGGGTCTAGATCGACAGATTCAAAAAACGAATGGTTGGAGTAACGAACAAGACATAGCATCCCGTTAACTCCCCATTCGAATGAATTGGTCTGATTCGCACATTTCTCAGATAAAGAGAGGGACACGGGTTGGATACAATCGGAACAGACCTTTGGAACAGTCCCTGGGAGACAGAGGCCTAATACATATATCCTTTCAGGGCCTTCACCAACCGAAGCGTTGTAGTAGCCATCTCGAGAACTGACATTGGAAGCAATAGTTGAGAGAGCAAGACGACGGTTGGTATCATAAGCATCGTTGGGTTTGAAAAACATTGACTCCCCGCATTGTTGTGCAGACACGGCACAAAAGCTTGCTGCAAAGATGAAACACAGGATTGACAAGAGATTCTTCAGACACATTTTCAAGAC